TGTTACCATAACATGCCTCCTGAATATTCTGGGTGTGCTTGATAATCGGCCGGGGGCATGACGTTGTTCCCCCCTTAGAGCGCGGGTGAGTTTATGAGTGAGTGCGTTGGCACATTCCGAAAGCAGTCGCATTGCCTTCAGTCGGCGGCGAGCGAGGGGGGGAAGCGATAAGGAGAAGGCAAGGCGGCGGGACTTCTCAGCAGCCCTCGCGCATTCTGAGCAACTTTCCGTGTCTCCGGGGAAGGGTCAGGGAATTTCTCAGAAAGCCGAGGGACTTCCGAACCTCGCGCGAAGGCTTTCTCCTTCTCGCTTCCCCCCCTGGCGCGCCGCCGATTGAGATTCGCGTGCGAGCGAAGTCTCTTGGATTCTTTAGAGGGCCACTCGTTCGACCCATCAGAGGAGGAGGAATGCTGCATCTGTACGTCATGTTCTCCCGCGCCACGCGCATGCGGAACATGCTGATCCTGCGGCGGCGCGCCACCGGTGCACCGCGCCGGGTCTTGCACCTGGGCGTCGACGGCCGTGCACTAGGCGTCAGCCTTCGCCTCCACTTGCACGTGCGGCCGGCAGCGTTTTTTTCGCGCCGGCGTGGGCCCCACATAGCGAAGCGTCTTGCAGTGTGCGTCGTGCAACCCACAGGTGGTGCAGTCTAGGTGGTGCAATCTAGGTGGTGCAGTCTAGGAGGTACAATCTAGGTGCAGTCTAGGTGGTGAGTCTAGGTGGTGCAAGACGCAATTCGAGTCAATGCCAGGCAATGAGAAACAGTGCACATCCATGCCACAGCACAGCGAACCAATGCAAAGCAGTGCAACGCAGCGAACCGCGATGCAAAGTAAAGCAAGGCAGCGCACAGCAATTCGCAGCAATGCAGCGCAAAGCGCCACATTGTCATGCGATGCGAAAAACAGCGAAACGAGGTAACGCATTTTGCAACAATGCGCATCAAAGCAACACAACGTAACGCAGTGCAAGGTAACGCAAATCAGCGCAACGCAGTGCAACGCGAGGCAACGTTGTGCACCGCAATACCAATACACGCGAAGCAATTTACGAAATTTAGAGCAATGCAAATCGAGTCGGAGCTATGCAGCACGATGCAACGCAACGCAGCGCAGCGCAAAACCATACAACGCAATGCAACACACCGCAAAGGAATGCCAGCCAACGCAGAGGAATGCCAATCTATACGTCATAATGCAAAGCAATGCAATTCAAGTCAGTACAACCAAATGCAAAGCAAGGCGTTGTCAAGCAACGCAAAGCATTACAACGCAGTACCATGCCATGCACATCGATGCAAGTTGCTGCCGGGTACTGCCACCCAATGCCAAGCAATGTCAAGCAACGCCAAGCACTGCCAAGCAATGCTAATTAATGTCACGCGGTGCAAGACAACGCACATGAATGCCACGCGATGCATCCATGCGACGAGATGCAAAATAGTTCAACGCAATGCAACGCATTGCAACGCAGTGCGCATCAGTACAACACGCTGCAACGGCATCCACAGCAGCGCGAAGCAACGCAAGGCACTTCAAAACAATGCGCGACGATGTGCAGCAATGCAAGCCAATGCAGCGCATTCTACGAATGCAAAGCCGTGCAGAGCGATGCAAAACGATGGAAGCAAATGCACCGCAATGCAAGTCAACGTCACGCAATTCAACACCATGCTAAATAATGCCATGCACGACTATGCCATGTAACAGGATCCAGCGCACTGCAAAACACTGTCAATCAATGCCAGCAATGTCAAGCATTGCGACGCAGCATAATGCAAAGCTTGTTGACCAACGCAAGGCACTGCTACCCAATGGAAAGCAGCACGCTTCAACGCAAATCAAGTACTACGGCGCAGAGACCAGCGGCAACTGCACCACACAGCAATACACAGCAACGAAACACGATGCGAATCACTGCTGCAGGGCAATGTAAAGAAATGCCACGCATAGCCGCCAGACCGACGTGCAGGCCCACTTCCGTAAGAAGGAAGTAAAAAGCAATGCCACGCAACACCAAACAACGCCAAGTAATGCAACACACATGCAGCACAACGCAACGCAACGCCAGGCATAAAAATGCCAAACGATCCGCATCAAACAGCTCAAAGCAGCTCAAAGTTGACAGCAACGCGACGCAATGCGACGAGGCGGCGACGGGACAGCGACGGCGATCATAAGCCGGCGGACCCGACGCTGTCCAAGCGACGGGCGGCGCCAAGAGAGGCGGCGACGGAGCTGCGACGGCGGCCACATAAGCCGCCAAACCGCCGCGCAGGACCTACTCCTTAGGAAAGAAAAGCCCTTCATTGTAAGCGTTGTTTGGGGAATAATGTGAACACCTGGGCGTGGCTGGGCCCGAGTGTTACGCACTTCAGGTGAGGTCTGGCACCGATGTGCAGTCCCAAGCTTCGTCACCCCGCAGACCGTCCCCCTTCCGTTGTCATCCTTCTTTGCCCCTGATTCCCACCACAGATGCAACATGCTTGACCCCAAGGCTCCACGTGTTGTCAGACGAAGTCCCACGAGCAATGGAACCAACAACAGGAACAAACATATGCATTTGGAGCGAATTGCGAAGGGCTTCTTAGATCTACTGCCGTGGGGCGACCGCGGAGCCTTCGAGAGATCCAAATAACCAGCCCTCCTTCACCCTGTCTGGCCCTCCCCAACCTGAGTTTGTGGCTTCTCACGTCATCTGCCCTGACGGGCACGAGTGGGCATCCCAGATGGGCGCGTACGGTTCGCGTTTGTCGTCGTCTCATCGTTCTGTGCGGCTTGCCTCTTCCACCGTCGCAGTGGAAACCCGTGCCAAGAACACCCTGCTTGCCTCCAGGGTGTCCTGGGTTTCTTGGGTTCCGATGGTTTGGCAATGGAAAGCGTGACGTTCCTACACCAAAAAATCATGGACGCCCGGGGTCCCAGCATTGGGTTTCTAGTGGAAGGTGCCTGGGGGTCGAGCTCCTCCTGTATCCTGATGGCCGCGAGGTGAGGATCGTTCGCAACCTGAAGGCCGCGATAGAGAGCGACGACGAGGCACAGCTCCGTGAGGCGATCGTGGAAGCGCGCAAGGCCTTCTCCGCGGCTGGGTGGGCGAGGGGGGAGGAGGAGGAGGAGGAGGAGGAGGAGGAGGAGGAGGAGGAGGAGGAGGAGGAAGAGGAGGTGGAGGAGGAGGAGGAGGAGGCGGAGGCGGAGGAGGCGGGGGCGGAGGCGGAGGCGGAGGCGGAGGCGGAGGCGGAGGCGGAGGCGGAGGAGGAGGAGGAGGAGGAGGAGGAGGAGGAGGAGGTCCCGAGCGATGAAAGTCGTGGCTGATCGAACGAGCGCGCTCCAGCGAAGCATAAAGATCCGCCACCCCCAGAAGGGGGAACCGCGGAGGGCGACAGCCCCTTGACTGCGCAGCATACCCCACGTCGCAGCCGACGAAGGTGCGCAGGAGCCCCACGAGCGAGGCTTTGACGGCGAGCTCGACCCCGAAGGGGCACAGGAACACGCCGCCGCCCAGGGTGGGCCAGGCCAGCCGCCCGGCCTGCGAAGACGCCCACCAGCATCACCGCGAGTTGCCGCCGGCGGCCAGGATGATGACGGAGGTGATGCGGACGTTGTCGCCCGACGCCGTCGCCGCTTCGAGCTCCGCTTTCAGCCAAGGCGAAAACATGAGGCCACCCTGCGCGCCAGCAGCGGGCCCAGCGACCTCCGTGGACGGCGGAGCGAGGCCCGCGCCATCTGCTGTCGCCGCCATCGCCCGCGCGGCTCCAACCGCCGTAGGCGCGCCTCCGCCGCGGCACCGCCGCCGCCGCCACGTACAGCTCCAGCTTCCGCAAGCGGCACGCCGCCTGCTCCAGCAGGGCCTCCCACAGCAGCACGCGCCCCAGCACGATGTGGCCTGCGCCTCCTCGGCGCGGCCTCGTCAGCCCAGGCGTGGTCGAACTCGACGTCGTCGCCGCCGTCGTAGTCCATGTTGGGGCCGCCAGCGGCAGCGGGGGGAGTAGCAGGCGGCGGGCCACTCGCCACCTCTGCATCCGCCATCGCCGCAGCTCCCTCTCGCTCCAGCGCGCGCCGCCCCGCACGCCTCTCACGCCGTCTGCGCCGCCGCTCGCGCAGCGCCTCCGAGGAAGCGCGAGGAGCGGCGTCGGCAGGCACCCCAGGGCGCACCCCGTCGCCCGCGGCGGCAGGCCCCCGCGGAGTCGGCCGCGCCGCGGAGGCGGCGGCCGACACGGCGGAGCGCGCCACGGCAGCGACAGCGCGGCGCGGCGAGCCTCCGTCCACGGCTCCGCGGGCCGCCGCGGCCACCAGGGCCGCCAGGTCCAAGGGCGCCGCGCGAGCCCCCCTAGGCCAGCGCCGTCCCGCGGTCCCGCGAGGAGAGGGAGGGTGGCGCGGCCGTGCGATCGCTTGAGCCAAAATAGAAGAGAAAAGGAGGAGGAGGAGGAGGAGGAGGAGGAGGAGGAGGAGGAGGGAGGAGGAGGAGGAGGAGGATAAGGCGGAGGCGGAGGCGGAGGCGGAGGAGGGGCGGAGGCGGAGGAGGAGGAGGAGGAGGAGGAGGAGGAGGAGGAGGAGGAGGAGGAGGAGGAGGAGGAGGAGGAGGAGGAGGAGGAGGAGAACAACGACGACAAGGGGGGCGGTGTCCTCGGCAACGCTAAGAACAGCTTTTCCTTCCTACATAGATCACCTGTGAGCATGGAGCCTTGGGCCTAGGTCGCAGCCTTGGCCCCAGTGAGGCTCCCCGTCCATTTGAGGCGCCCCCCCCCGAACAGCTGCATCCTGAGCGCACGGCACGCGGCTTGCAGTCCTATAGCCCTAAGAATGATGCGACTCTCGCACGTGATCCGTCTCCCCACGTCCGTCACGTCCAACCGATAAGGAGGAGTTGGAGGAGGAGGAGGAGGAGGAGGAGGAGGAGGAGGATGAGGTGGGATTTGGATCTTCGAGATTGAGTAGCACAATGCTGGGGAACCGACAAAGGACCGACAGGGGGGCGCGACGAAGCCGCCACGCAAGTGCCCCAAAACCGACCAGGACCGACCGACGGAGACGGAAAGTGGACCGAAAAGCTCTAGCGAAGCAGCAACGTGGTTCAGCGAGCAGAAGGACGGATTCAGCGGCACGCGTGTCGCGCGGTGGCGGCCTCATCAGGCGGAGCACGTTGACAGTTTTATAGGTTCTTTTTTGTGCCCTCGTCCGCACAGGGAGAATACAGTGGAGGCCCATGCCAAGAAACGCCCTGCTTGCCTCCAGGGTGCCCTGGGCTTCTTGGGTTTCGATGGTTTTGCCACGGGAAGGCATGACGCTCCCACACCAAAACTCCACGGACGCCCTGGGGTCTCAGGGCTGGGTTTCTCGTGGAAGGCCTCTCGAGGCCGCGCCCCTGCTGCATGTTCCCTCCTGTGCCCTCGCCCGCGCGGGGAGAACAGCAGCGCGGAGGAGCAGCAGGAGCAGGAGGCGAGCGTCGCCGAGGCTGCCGCTCGCGTGGCGTGCGGGGCAGTCCGCAGCGGCCCCCCGCGCGGCCGGCTCGCCGTGAAGAAGCGGCCCACGGAGCTCCCCCGAGGCCAGCGGCCATGGCCGAGGAGGTGCCCCGCAGTCTGGCCGGGTGCCGCTCCTGGTCTGCGGCACGCCACCGGACGCAACAAGGCGGCATTGGACGGCACCTGTCCGGAGAAGAGCAAATTGCATATACACATACACTTTTGGCGCTCCGCGCGGATTTCTTGGATCCGCGCTGGGGCACCCCTGGCGGCGCCTCTGGCGCCGCCCCTGGCGCGCTCCGCGCGCCAGGGGAGGGGGTCCAGCGCAGATCCAAGAAATCCACGCGGAGCGCCAAAAGTTGATGTGTAGCCCGTTTGTTCTTCTTCTGGCCACCTCGAGCAGCAGCACCACCAGGCGCAACAAGGCGCAAGGCGGCAGCTGACGCCATCTGTGTCAGTATAGTGCCAGGCTCTGTAGCGGAAGGTACAGGCACGTCTTCGGGCTTACCGTCCACTTGCACAGGGTCCAATGGGAGAGCATATTCAGCACCGTTGTAGTCAGCGTGATCGCTTTCGCGGTGAGCTGAAGGGGCACTTCGCGACCAGCAGGCAGGATGCGGAACAGCGATCTCGGCGGAAACTTGCAACGCTGAATGTAAGGTCGCCCCGAGCCTTGGGTAGGAGGAGGAGGAGGAGGAGGAGGAGGAGGAGGAGGAGGAGGAGGAGCAGAATGGGGAGAAATTGAGAGGAGCACGGAGGTGGGAGGATAAGACCAGGGAGAGGAGGTGGACGAAGAGGATAAGGAGGAGGAGGAGGAGGGAGGAGGAGGAGGCCGAGGGGGAGTAGGACATCAGGAGGAGGGCGGGAAAGAAGGAGGGAGGGAATGATCGGGTGACGGGAATAAGGAAGGAGGAAGGGAAGGACGAGGAGGAAGAGGAGTGTGGGGATGAAGAGGTTTTGGAGAAGGATCGTGTGGGGAGCGCTACCGATTATTGGAGGTGGCTGCGCTGGCGAGGACTTCCCGTGCCGCCTTCTGGATACGTCGGGTCTCTCACTGGAACTCGTGAATTTGTTGTTGAAGAACTTCCCTTTCCTCCTCTTCCTCCCTCCTCCTCCTCCTCCTCCTCCTCCTCCTCCTCCTCATCATCACTCCTTCTCCTTCTCCCTCTTCTTCTCCTACTCCTCCTCCTCCTCTCCTCTCCTTCTCCCTCTTCCTTCTCCTCCTCCCTCCTCTCTCCCTCTCCTCCTCCTCCCTCCTCCTCCTCCTCTCCTCCTCCTCCTCCTCCTCCTCTCCTCCTCCCTCCTCCTCCTCCTCCTCCCCTCCTCCTGCCTCCTCCTCCTCCTTCCTCCTCCTCCTCCCTCCTCCCCTCTCCCTCCTCCTCCTCCTCCTCCTCCTCCTCCATCCTCCTTTTCCTTCTCATCTTCCTCCTTATCGTCTTCTTCCTCCTCCCCCTTCTCCTCCTCCTCCTCCTCACTCCTCCTCCTCCTCCTCCTCCTCCTCCTCCTCCTCCTCCTCATCCTCATCCTCATCCTCATCCTTGATGTCTTCTGCGACCCGACACGATGTTTTAGCCGCCCCCTCAGCGTAGTTCGTGTCGGCACCCTGCTCCTTCAGAGAGGCGTAGTACGTCTCGCGAAGCTGGAGGTGCAGCATGCATGCGGTCGGGAACTTTGGCTTTGGCGCGTCGCGCCACCAGATCTGGCCCACCACGCTTCGACGCGACACGCCAACCACGTCCCCGAGCGTCAACGTTCCGAGTTTTTTCCCCTGCATCCCGCCCCGCGGAGCGGAGCGACACGCTATCCGCTTGCAAGGCACGGCGTGTTGCCGGGGCCGCCGCCGCGGCACGCGAAGCAGAAGTTCCTGGACCGTAGACGCCCCGACCGCCAGCAGAGCCTACGCCCCCCCCCTCAACCATGCAACGAATTGCCACATTGCAGATAGCTCGCGCTTGATCGTGTAACTTCTCCTCCTCCTCCTCCTCCTCCTCCTCCTCCTCCTCCGTGGCCTGTGTGCCGCGTCTGTGCCGGACCGACCAGGCCCTCTGTCCGTTGGCTCCCCGGCCCTGGCGGCCCCCCCGGCTCCTGCCCGAGGCCAGCCACCTGGCGGCCCGAGAGCGGCCGGCGACCCGGCCAGTGCACACGTCGTGTGCTGGGCGCGAGAGGGCACGCCCCGAAGGCCAGTCGCGGCATCCGACGAGCGCACAGAGTCGGTATCGTTTCACCGACCCCCCATCCCCATATCCATCCCCCTCGAGACCCCCACCAGATTACCACCCCAGTTGGGGATGCACCCCTCGAAACCCGAAGGGAATGGCCTATATCCCCATTTAGGGGGGTAAATCGGCCAACGGGGCCCAGGCCACGTCGCTGGGGATGGGGATCTGTTAAACGATACTCACAGAGGAGGAAAACCCATACCGCTACCCTTCCCTCGTGCTCGCCTCTCTGGGCCTTCTGGGAGGCCCTCGCCGCCACCGCTGGCTTCGCCTCGAGATTCTCGTCAGGACGCACCCCGGGGAGAGGTCCGGGGATTCGCGGCATCGGTACCTCTTTTAGTTTCCCCAAGGGCACACCAGTGGGGCCGACCAGAGGGCGTGGGCTCTGTGGTCTCGCCGGCGGAGGAGGAGGAGGCGGAGAAGGATGATCTTTCTGCTACCTCTCTTCTCTCTCCTTCTCTCTCTCTCTCTGTATCTCTGCCTGTCTGTCTCGCTTTCTGCCTCTCTTTCTCCCCCCCTCGTCTCTTCCGTCCGCCCCGCCTCGGACGACAGTGCGTCTGGTGCCGCCTCGGCCAAGGATCCTTCGAGCCACAAGTGCGGCCAGCAGGGGCAGAGACACCGCGCCAGTCTGCCATACCATTGTGGCCCTGGTGTTAAGTCGGGCATGTCCCACTACAGGAGGAATATTCAAGAATGGTAACAAATAGTATGGTGACGATTTTTCGTGCTCGTTTGACTATTCTTGATTATTTGTTGTTGCTCTTTCTCTCTCTTTTCCAAAATCCGCCTGTAGGAGGACGTGCCCGACCTAACCCTAGTTTCGTATTTCCTTTATTTTGTGTTGCCTCAGCGTCCGCCTGGGATGCAATGCCACAGCCCACAGTCAGTCCCTCACTCACCGACCGTGGTCGAGAATCGGTTCGGTAGTTTCCCAGGGTCAGCGCTCTTTTGATTACCCGCTGAGCGCAAGAGCTTGACGCGACGATGGGCGCGCTTTGGCGGCGCCTCTGCCTCCCGCCCTCCGCGACACGACCAGCAGCGCCCGGTGGCACGTGGGCTTTCAGAGCCCGGCGTCCACGTGTTCTTTTCGCACTGCAGACTGCAGAGTCCTACTCAGTCCTGGGTGTGGTCCGAGCAGATGGGGTCGAAGGATCGCGCCGCATCGCCGATGTATCGGCAATGCGGCTCGATGTGGAGCCCGATTTGCTCCACGCCGACGTCGCCAGTGCATCGCCGTTGTATCGGCGATGCATCGGCGATGCATCGGCGAGGCGGCGCGATCCTGGGACCTCCGACCGCATCTGGGAGGCCTCCCAAGAATATCCATCTCACCTATCACCTCACCTCCTCCTTTCGTCTTCTGGTGTTCGTGGTTCCTTCCCGGCCCGGGCTGGGCGTGGGACTTCGACGCCACGCATCAGAGGAGCCACGACAGCTCAAAGCAAGGAGCGGAGGAGAGGGCGGCGGAGGAGGAGAAGGAGGAGGATGAGGAGGAAGGACAGCGCGAAGCCAGTTGGCTTCGAGAAACGATATTCGCCCCTCCCTTTCCGGCGAAACTATGTCGCTTCTCGCCTCTGGAAATGATATCCCGGCCACGGACGCTTCAGCGCGGGGTCCCACCATGATCTTAGCAGGATTCCAACAAAACCCCAATTGGATTCCAATGAGACCCCAATAGGGTTGCAACATGAAGAGGCTGTCTTGGGGCCTTTCTTGGATCGTCTTACTCGTCTCAATTACTCCCACCGCTCTCCCCCGCGGAATCATTATTTAATCAATTCATGTGACGTGGTGCTAACGATATCGCTCGGCGCCCCCCCTCTGCAATGATGTTTTTATTTTGAGTACTACGGATAAGGGGTGGAAACTACAATTGCATCCCAAGGATAGTGCTTATGCCAGTGGTCCGTGGATGCCCTGAGCTGCTTTCTAGCTCTGCAGAGTGCGACACGCCACATCCAGATGCAATTGCTTGAATATGAGCTCATCAGATGCCAGCTCGGTGGGGCTCTAGTGACTTTGAGGTGCCCAGGCTCGGAATTCTTTCCTGAGCCCTGGGACGGTTCTTCCTGTTTCCACGCGCAGAGCGCAATATGGTATCACTGCTAGCTGCAAGTCTTAGGGGGCTCCTGCTTGCATGAAATGTTCGCTCGGTGTGCAACATGTGTCATAAAGGATCCGCCGCGCGGTGTATCGAGTTTGTCGGTCTGTGATTTCAGACCCTGGAGAATTGAACGTGAATAGACCACATAATAGTGCCACTCTGCAAGGTCGAGGTGACCGGCTCTGAGATCAAGGCCGCCAACGAGAGGCTCAAGGATCTCGTCCTTGCCAGGCGCGGCCCGGACCAATACCTCGTCGTCGTCGCTTTGCGTTCAGGGCCCTCTTTGGTCAGCCCTGTCCCCGTCTCTCCCGTGACGTCGTGCGCGTCGCAGTGCGTCCGGCTGGCGCCACCGACGTCCGTCGGTTTGGCCGAGGTTGTGCGTCGCCATGACGCTGCGCGCGCCTCTTGAGCTGACTGGCACCAGCCTGCCGCAGCTCCCGAGAGCGGGCACGGCGCGATGTGTTCGGGGCGACGACAGGGGGGGATAGGCATAGGGGGGGCTGCATCGACCCCCAATCGCCCACTGATCGGCCCGATAGCCCCAACATGCCCAGGTAGGTGCGGATTCACAGTCGGAGGCCTATCGCCAATCTATCGGCGATGTATCGCCGATTCCAGGTCGATGCTTCCCCCCCTACCCCTATCCCTATCCGTATCGTTGCCCCTCTCACGTGTCGCGCTGTGGGTGCCCTCTCTTCAGCGCAAGGTGCCGTGCGGCGGGCGCCCCGGCACGCCGGCATCGGACGAGGGGCCCTGCAGCGCGGCTTTGGGTGCTGGCTGCCTTCTCGCATGGTTTTGCGTCTTGTGGCCACCGGCCCGCTCCCGTCCCCTCGTCGTCCCTGGCTCGGACGAGGAGGAGGAGGAGGAGGGAGGAGGAGGAGGAGGAGAAAGGAGGAGGAGGAGGAGGAGGGAGGAGGAGGGAGGAGGAGGGAGGGGGAGGACGAGGAGGAGGAGGAGGATGAGGAGGAGGAGGAGGCGCTGAAGTGAGGTCCACTTCGAGCTCACAGGCCGTTCCTCAGATCTAAGGTCGGGGAACCTGTTCCTGGCCGAGGCTCGCCGCGGCCAGGGAAGCTCCCTCATGCCTCATTCTGCGTTCCCTCCTCCCCCTCCTCCTCCTCCGAAGAAGAAGAAGAAGCGCCTCAAGGATTATGAAGAGAAACGCACATCGACTGGCGGTGCATCGAGGAAGCGAATGCTCCGCTCCAAGGCAAGACTGTCGCCGGCGATGCCCGCTATGGCGATCGCGCCATTCCGAGTTAGGATCGTGGTCGACGCTACGGAGAGATCACCGTTCTCAATTAGGAATGTGAGGTGTGAGGTGAGGGAACCTTTCCGAGTCCCAGACATGGCCACTTAGTTCTACGGCTGCAACATAGTGACTAAACCGCCTCCATTCAGGAGTGAGTCGAGAATGTGACCAACACTGAGGCGAGAGCACAGCTCCAAACTAGGAGGGCGGCTGGCGCTACGGCGATGGCGCCATTCCCATACGGGACTGGACATTGGCAGCGACATCATTTGGTACCCTGAGGCCTGTCGAACATATAGTACGATCTCATGTGTCTGTATGATGCTGCTGCTTTTCGTTTGCGACCATTTTCGATATGTCGAGCCGCATGTATAGTTACTAGTTACAATTGGCCGTATCACCGCAGCGATGTTGCATTGATGCGAGTACATACTGTATCAGCCATCGACATATTGCTACAGTTGTTCTGGATGTTTATTTTGCGAGCCACGCGTCGTCACTTAGTATCGACACTAGTAACGGTTACTAGCGCCGATGCAGTTGTGGAAGTTACATTATTATTTGTTGCTAGATACAATGTCCAACGAGTTGCTATTACAACTACCTGCTGCTACCATCGCCACTGCTATTGCTGCGATTGTCGAGCTATGCGCGGCAGTGTTGCTTTCGCCTTGCCTCGCACAGGGGAGCTCAAAGGCGAGCAGGGCTTAAGTCTATCCATCCATCGCGCTCGTTGGGCAGGACTGCCGTTATCAGCAATATCTGTTCGGACAGATCTGTCGTATCAATGTTGCTATGCTTGCAGCGGTGATAGTACCATCACGTTGCTCCCGCCATTACTGCTACACTGGGCATGCCTGGGGATGCGTGCCTTCGTGAGAGTGCCTGCACGCCGTGCCTGACGCTTGCCTGCGTGTGTGTCTCTGCGCGCTTGTCGGTGTTCGGAGATCTGCGCGCAGGTGTTGTTGCGCCGCCGTGGCGGCCACTTCCCCTGGCTGCGGGAAGCACCCGCTAGGGGGAATTGTGCGAATCGATGTGCTGATGCTTGGAGGTGGTTGATTGTAGATATCAACTTGTGTATTGCTGTTTGTTGAACGTAGACTGTTGAGCGGCAGGCGTAAGTTGGTGCTTGCGTGTGCGCGTCTACCCCTCGGCCGGCAAGGGAGCTGAAGCAGTTGCGCGACGTCGTCGCCACCGGCGACGAGACAGAGTTGCGCGAAGCAATTCGAGAGGCGCGTAAGGCGAGCGTTTTCGTTGCTTGGCATGGAGGGGGCAGGGGGATTGGGACGCGGCATGAGGATCGGGTGAGGGCAGATAGTGCCATCGTCCTGGTGGCGGTGTCTCGATGCATATCCTCTTTTCGACTCGTTCCCTGTGTCTCCGGTACGGCAACACAGGAGCCCTCCTGGGGGTCGCCCAGCAGCAGCAGGTGGTCATGAGAAGCTCTTGCATTTAAGATCTCACAGCGGTGTGTTTACCCATACCCCTCTCCCTCCTCTCTCCCTCCTCTCCCACGTCCCACCCACATTCCTCCATCCGCTTTGCACCCCCATCTCCTCGTCCTCCTCCACCCCTTCACCTCCCCTTTCCTCCTGCCCATCCTCCTTCCCCCTTTACCTCCCTGCTCCTCCTCATCATCATTCCTTCCCTCATTCACCTCCCTTCTCACTCATCCTCCTTCTTCCGTCCCCCCCCCTCCTCCTCATCCTCACCCTCCTCCGCCTTACATAGGTTGCCTTTGGAGTCGTATTGCACTGGGATGAGACTTCGGGCCAAAGTGGCCACTTGCTTGCAACACGTAAGATCCTAGGCCTCATGCGTTTGCATGCATGGTCCACGCCTTCTCCGCGTATCTGCCGATCCTCTTGCCTTGCTCTTTTCTCTTTCAGAGGCTCCCCTCCTTTCCTCAGCGTCCACCTCTCTCTCCTCTCCAAACTTTCTCCTTCCCTGAGATGCGACGGGAACCCATCTTTCTGCGTCATTTTTCGAGCCGGATCGATCTGTGCGGGTCCCAGGGCCCGAAATCGAGCGAAAACGCCCGTTGTGCCAGGATAAGAGGGTTCTTTCTCAATCCTTCTCGTATCCCCCTCTCCCCCTCCCTTTCGCCCGCCATTCCCTGTTCTGTTTCACACTTTCGCTTTCCTCGTCCTCTCCTTCGTTGTCTGCCCTGCTTTCTTCATCCACATGTGGAGGACATGTCTCGTCCTTTCCCGCGCAGTGGGTTGGCCGTCACCCCGTCCACGAGCTCAGCGCAGGTCAGTGTGTATGTGCAGGTTGGCTACGCATCGGTATCTCTTATATTTGTGTGTGCACAGATACATACACATATAGATCAGATGCACCCATTTGTATGTACACGCACGTGCAAGCATGATGTATGTATGCGGGCATGTGCGCAAACACACACCTGCACATCTATATGTTCACAGTACTGCGAAATCACGAGCAGCGCAGTGCCAACAACACTGTAGTTCTCATTCTATTTTGCACCTGATGTGCTCGTGCGCCACAGCTGCCTGGCTCGCGCCAGCAACGGCGCGGCAGCACTCGACCAGCATATGAATCATGATGCTCGTGGGCTGCGCCCTAAGCACAGCGAAATCGAACGGCGCCACTCTGTCCAAATGTAAGCCGCGCCGACGCCAGTCAGGGCTCGGGGCAGTGCCCGCCGACGCCCGGCCAGCGTTGGGCGACGAGTCAACCACCCTGGCAGGCGCGCTCAGAGCGACAGCGCGAAGCGAGCCAAACGCAACAATCATGGCCGACATGTGCAGCTGAAACATGACAAGAACAGTTTTCATGTGGTAGAACATGTCTATTCCCAACCATCCTGTGGTGTTTGGGTCCTCGTTTTGAAGAGGTAGCGCCCCGCGACTCCCTCCCTCCTCCCTCCCCCTCTTTTCTTCTGTCGTCCGCATGTCAACCATTACGGCACACTCCTCACAGGTTTCGTGGCTCCATGGGGGGCCCCATCGAGGGCCCCAGTGGCAAAATTCGCATGCGGCTCCCCGTCCACCACATGTCCATTTCGGTACACCCCTCCCGTTTCGTGGCCCCATAGAGGAGCTCCATCAGAGGCTCCAGTTGCAAGGTTCGCATGCGGCTCCCCGCCCACCGCATGTCCATTTCGGCATACCCATCGCACGCTTCGTGACCCCATAGGGGAGCTCCATCGAGGGCCCCAGTGGCAAGGTTCGCATGCGGCTCCCCGCCCACCGCATGTCCATTTCGGCACACCATCACACGCCTCGTGGCTCCATAGTGAGTTCCACCGAAGTCCCCAGTGGCAAAGTTCGCATGCCGCTCCCCGCCCACCGCATGTCCGTTTGTGGCCCCATAGGGGAGCTCCACCGAAGGCCCCAGTGGCAAAGTTCGCAGGCGCCTCCCCGCCCACCGCATGTCCATTCCGGCTCACCGCTCACGCGCTTCGTGGCCCCATAGGGGAGCTCCACCGAGGGCACAGCGTTCACGCGCTTCGTGGCCCCATAGGCTCGCGGGGACTCCCATGCGCCTTGCCTCCAGGAACAGCCCGACGCCCGCGCGCTCTGCCCAGCGCCTTGCCCGTTGTCAGCCGCCTGTGCTTTCTGTGTTCCGTGCCGCGGACACCCCGCGCGCGTGGCCGGGACTTCTTCGGGGCGAGCGGCACGCGTCGCGGGGACTCCGCAGTGCGCGGTGCCCAGAGCTGCGGCCACCGGGGCGCAAGGGCAAAGAGGGGAGAAGTACGAGAGAAGGAAGTGGATACAGAGCGGTGGGGCTGGGGGCTCGGGCCACCGCGGGCCAGGCAGGCAGGATCGCAGCGCCGCGCACTGGAAAAAAAAGAGAGGATCGAAAGGGCCGGGGAGGAAGTGGGCACGGAATGGCAGCGCACGGGGCTCGCGCCAAAGAGTGCGTTCACCCGCGAGCCCAACGGTTTGTCTCTCCCAGTTGACGCCGCAGTCCTTCCCCTGGTCCCCTCTTCCTGACCTGCCCCGCGGTATTCGAAGGTGCTTGCAGTTGGGTCGTTCGCTTGGCCTCCCCCTCCTCCTCCTCCTCCTCCTCCTCCTCCTCCTCCTCCTCTTCCTCCCATCCCTGCCTTTGCCCTCTGCATGTGTCTGTTTCGGCGCACCCCTCACACGCTTCATGGCCCCACAGGGAGCTCCACTGGAGGCCCCACTGGCAAGGTCCACATGCGGTTCCCCGCCACATTTCGGAACGTCCCTCGCACGTGTCGTGGCCACATACGGAGCTCCACCGATGGCCCCAGCGGCATGGTCCACATGCGGTTCCCCGCCTACTTCCACACGTTTCGTGGCCCCATGTGGTAGCTGCTCCGAAACCCAAACGGCAGGGTCCACATGCGGCTTGCCCCTCCCCCCCATTTCGGCACACCCTTCATACACTTCGTGGCCCCATATGGGATCTCCACCGAAGGCCCCAGTGGCAGGGTCCACGTGTGGTTCTTCGCCCATGTCGACACACCCCTCGCACGTTTCATGGCCCGATAGGGAATTCCACCGAAGGCCTCAGCCCATGTGGACACACCATTCACACGCTTCGTGGCCCCATAGGGAGCTCCACGGCAGGCACCAATGGCAGGGTCCACATGTTTTTGGGCACACACGCACACACTTCACACGTTTCGTGGCCCCTTAGGGAGTGCCAGCGAAGGCTTCATTGGCAGGGCCCACATGCGGTGTCCCGCCAATTTCCGCACACACACACACACACCCACACACACACACACACACACACGCACACACGCACACACACACACACGCGTTTCGCGACCCCATAGAGAGCTCCTCCGAAGGCGCCAGTGGCATGGTCCACATGCGGTTCCCCACCCATTTGGACACCACACACACACACACACGCACACACACATCCCACAACGCGCCACCTTCAACTGCATACGGTTGGGCCTTTCGCCAATTTCTTTTCGTGACAGCTGTCCACCCTCCGTCCACCATCGCTTCGCGCTGTCGTTTGGAGCGCGCCTGGAGGGCTGGTCGACTCGTCGGCCAGCGTTGGCCCGGCGTCGGCGGGCCATGGCCGCGTTTGGCGCGGTTTGGCTTCGGGCTCTGTCTGCCGGGGTGCCTTCAGCCCGCTTCGCATTCTGGGCGCACGTTTTGCTTCTCTGAGGCGGTCGCCAGGATAGATTTCCCGATGTTCCGAGTGCGTGTGTGTGTGTGTGTACTCGTTTGCGCGTCTTGCCCCTGCGCTCTTCCGCGCCCCTGGAAGGTGTTTCAGGCGTTTCGCTGGGACAAAATTGAGCCGGCTGGGTTTGCAAGAGCCGGAAACCAATAGGTGACGTTCACTAATTTCCATAGTTCCAAACCATGTTTTACATGTACATGTGGTAGTATGTACCAAAAGAGGAATGGGGGACGACGACAGTAGTCGATAAGTGTGGTTGGTACGTTGCAATATAGCTGCTGCATCATACTGCATGTTGATTGTCATTAGGCGGCGCAACCATACGAACACAGGGTATGAGTGCATGTGTGAGCCGCAGCCAATCTCAGATGCACCTTTTCCCCCCGAGCACCAGGTTGCAGGCAGTGGGGATGATGGGAATGAAGAAGAAGGGATAAGCGCCATGAGAGGCAAGCGGAAATCAAGTGGAAAAGACAGCGAGGCAGAGAGGCGGGGACATGACCGAGAGCAGGAGCAACACATCCGATGATGAGGGAGGAACCGAACAGACGAAGGGGACCAAGCAAAACGAGGGCCGCACCTGCAGAGACTCCAATCCCTCTCGCTGAGACCAGCAGCGACTCCAAAGGCGGCCTGTATACTCTCCCTCCTCATCAGCCTCCTCCTGCCCCCAAGATTGGGGTTAGGCGACACGGGCGTCCCGGAGCCAGCCAGAGTCGGTGCAGAGGGAGACGGGAGAGAGTTTTGGGGGGAGGCACCGGGAGATCTCATTGAAAGGAAGAGGCAGTGGCAAGGAGAGGTCTTCGGCCGGCCGCCGACCACGAGCAATTCAGTTCGCTGAGCTCTTCTTGGTGGGAAGGGGGGGAGCACGACGATGGCGATCGCCAGCCCCCCCCCCCAAAAAGACAACACCTGGAGCCGCAAGGCACGAATCCTGGAGCTCGGATCCGGAAGAAAAGCGGAGCAGGAGGGCAGGGCGGGGCAGGGAGGAGGGAGGAGCAGGAGGAGCAGGAGGAGGAGCAGCGGCCGGAGCAGCAGCAGCAGTGGCCGGGGCTCCCCCGCGCAGGGTCGGCGCCCAGAGCTCCCGGGGGACAGAGCCCCGCGCGCTGCGCCCGTGAACGGTTGGCACAGGGAGCCCACGAGCAGGCGGGGAGCAGCAGTGGCGAGCCCACGTGTGCAGGGAGCAGTGGGGGGGAGGCAAAGACGCAGAGATCCGATGCTCCAAAAATATTGGAGCGGCGGGATTCTGGCAGCTCTCGTCCTCCAGGGGCCCTCGCCGGACCTCGAGAGCGTCAGGAAACGGCTCGGGACGAAAAACCGGCCCCGGGGAAGTGGTCCGGGCCTTTGGGGCCCACGCATCGGAAAAATTGGAGCAGCCGGATGTCTGGGGAGGGGAGGACAGAAGGGATGAGGAGGAGCAGCGGCAGCAAGACCAGGCCAGCATGCCCAGCGACGAGTTGGACAAGGCCCAGGACTCCGCACTTGTGCTGCCGAGAGATGGACGAGCGTGCGTTCCCGATGTCGACAGTCAGTTGTCGCATGGGAACCGACCTCCGCGATCGCGGCTTCTTTCCCTCCCTCCCTCCCTTCCTCCTCGGGACTGCTACTTGACTGTTTATGAGGCCTTTTCCCATAGCTGGGGGGACGTGCCTCCTCGGTTTTTCGCGGCCTGTACATGTGTTGCGTTCTCAGGTCCTCCATTGTCTGGCCAGCGCTCTTCGAAGCTCTATGGACACCGCGAGTTACTACGCAATTCGCTTACACCCCCCTCTCGGGTCCAGCTGGCTCACCCTTGATGCGAGAAACTTGAGCCCCACATGTCCTAGGTTCTTCGAGAAATGCAATACTCTGGGTTTCTTGATGAGCGTGGGGGGTACCCCCTCGACGGGGGTCAACCTCGCCTCGTCGTCGCGCCGCGACGGGGGTCGGAGCGCCTTCGGCGTGCGGTGACTGCCCGCGACGGGGGCGATGTGGGGCTGTCGGCGGGGGTGACCCCCCCCCGACGCCTATGGGGAAACTCAGAGTAGTCGTGCACTGCCGCTGCTCATGAGCTCTCGTTGCGCCTCGGGGCGAGCAGAGGATCGGTCTCCTTTCTACTGGCCAGCGGCTACGAATCTCCTCTTCCTCTGTGAGCGGGGAGGACGAGGAAAACCATCGACAAAAACAACTAAGCTCCCCCCAAACAAACACATGATTTCGGCAGAATTGTGGCGATGGCCCAAACAGATTTGCCCGACATCATGTTTTTTGTTGTTTCCCTGATTTTATTTCCTCCCCCGCACCGCTTACAGCGGGAATCCTTTTGTATTCCGCTTTAGAATGGACCCTTGTATATTCCGCCACGCAAGGATTCCCTCGTCATTACGCCATAAAAGGAATCCTCTTTGTATTCTGCCACAATGAGAATCCTTTTGTATTCGACCACTAAAGAATTCCCTTTGCATTCCGCCACATACATAATCCCTTGGTGACCAACCACCGAAGGATTCATTTTGCATTCTGTCACACAAAGAATCCCTTCTTATTTCGCCACATGAATAATCCTTGTGCATTCTGCCACAAAGGGAATCCTCTTGCATTCTGCCACACAAGGAATTCCGTGGTAGTCAACAGAAGCATTCCTCTCGCATTCTGCCACAACAGGAATCCCTTACTAGTCCGCTACAAGGAATCGAATTGTATTCTGCCACAGAGGAAATCCCTGTGTATTCCGCCACAAGGTCAAGGTCAAGCCTGTATGCCCGCGAAGGGGCGGCCGCTTAGGGCACAGGCGGGTGAAAACTAGCAGACGCTCATGTGGTGAAGAATATCTCCTGCCATACAATTCCAAGAATGTGGGCCTTTGGCTGCTACTCTCCAGTCGCCGATCCCGTACTTGTCGCAGAAACACTGGACATCAGATTCCCACGTCTTTCGCGGTCTCCCTTTGGACTTGTTTCTGGCAGGTGGCCATGCAAGAACGCGTGACAGCCATCTGTCGGCAGGCAGGTTGGCGACGTACCCGGCGAAGTCCCAGTATTGGCGAAGCAATGCTTCCGACCAAAATTTGGTCTGAGTGCCTTGCATCTTTTCCGTAACACGCTCGTGCCACACATGCAATATCTCATGCCATGGGCGGGTCCAGTCGACCCCGCCGGGCGGCCCGACAACTTGTCGAAGAAGCTTGCGACACGCAGCGTCCAGCTTCTTCCTCTCGGCTGCATAGACCACGCGGTGAGCAGAACCAAACATGGCAATCGGGGTGATGACGGCATGAAAGTAGTTCGAGCGCAGCTCAACCGGTACATGCTTCGCTGCGAAGATCCACCAGCTCGCGAAGAAAGTCTTTGTAGCAGCTTGAAGATGGTATTCCTGGTCCTGCTCCACAACGTCAGTCGACAAAATGAATCCTAACCATTTGTGAGAGTTCACACGTTTGATATGTACACCGGAGGGGGGCACGAGCTTGTCCGGCGGTTGCGCCTCGGTCGTCAGGGTTACAGTTTTGTCGGCGTTCAGCATCAGGCCAATTGCGGCGAGCTCCTCAACCAGCGACGTCAGAAGAATCGCAGCCTCTTTTTGCGATTTCGCGAAAAATACCACGTCGTCAGCAAACCGTAAGTCCAATAATCGACGCAATCCGTCTCCCAAGTCAAAACCTGCTGCCCCAGACTTCCGACGCCAACGGGCCATCGCGCATTACAACAAACAGCAGAAGAGCCTTTGGCTGGGAACGCAACCCTGTCGGACCCCAGCTCGGATGTCAAAAGGGTCGCTGCGCTGAGAATTGCCTTTCACCTGCCCAGTCTGTTTCTAGTAAAGCACCTGCAACATCCATATTAGGTGGTCGGAGATACCGTGCCCGCGCAAAGCCGATCACAGAGCAGACCAATTCACACGAGCGAAAGCTTGTCCAAAAACATGTTTGTTGTCAGAAGGTGTTCCTCGATGCGGTAATCGGCTCGGAAAGCGTGCTGGTCTTCAGGTTGGTGTTTGTCCAGCACTTTCTCTAAGCGCCCCACACCAAATATGCAAATAGCTTGTACAAAACCCGTACGCTGGCAATGGGCTGGTGATCAGAAACAGCTACGGGCTTCACACTTTTCGGAAGCATCTGGAACAAGGTTCGTCGCCAGCTCGCTCCCCTGGGGAAGCCCCCCCAGCAATACTCCGTTGTACAACGTTAGCAAACAACTCTTGAAGGGAGCTGGAGTGTTGTGTAGGAGTTCTGCAACCAAGCCAATGCCATCAGAAGCTCGCTTCGCGTTCATCCTGCCCACCGCAGCGTCGAGTTCTGTCGCGGAGAATAGATCCTCCGTGAGAGTTTGCGGTCTTTCCGGCGCAGGCGATACCCCGGCAAACAAGCCGCCAAGGAATTTAGCACAATCACTCTCCGATGATGGTTGGGGTTGGCTTCTCCCTTCGATCTTGTCCAACAACGATTTGACTTCGTGCACATGCTTTGAACTCTTCAACATGTCTTCCAATTGTGCTGTCTTCCATGTTGTGACCTCCTGTCTTTGCAAGCGCCGGATCTCAAAGCTAAGTCGCTTGCATTCAGCTTGGTCGCGGGCGCGTCTTCTCTGAACCAGGAGCTCCTGGAGACGTGAACTTGGACTGAAACGTATCTTGCGGGTCGCGGTATAGCCGGACTTCGTTGCCGCATCTTGAAGGGCTGCTTCAATTTGCTCGAAAGACGCCGTATTCCAATGTTCGAACACCCACGTGCTCAGGTAATCTTGAAAATTTTATGGTTGGCCACGCTCGTCCAGATTTGGTTTCCACTTCTTGAACGACTTCTGTCGCCGCTTGCGCCTGTCCCTAGTGGTGGACATGTCCCGCTGCACCCTCAGCTGCGCAACGCTGTGGACGCAACGATGGTCAAGACCGATTGGCGAACAATTGTCGTACCACGTGCTGTGACAGTGGACCCGGCTACCTGCCAGGAGAAAGTCTAGCTGCACCAAAGCCCTGTCCATAGTGCGTCTGCAGGTCCAGCCATGTTAACTACGTTCTACCACCGACTGCCTGCTCAAGATGCGCAGGCCGTGCTCCAATACGAAGTGCACCATCAAACTTCCACGTTCGCTCCAGGGCCCAATCCCGAAAGCGCCTAAGAAATCAGCAACGTCGGAAACAGCAGGTGCGCCAATAGATGCATTGAAGTCGCCGCCAACCAAAGGGATCCGACCATGCGCGTCGCAATCCAGGAGCAGCAAAGACACAGCGTCGTATAATTCGTGCACTACGTCCTCGTTATCCCAAGCAGTCGGAAAGTAACACACACTTCCCTGGAACAATTTGCCGTCCAACTGAAAATCTAAGGAACATAATCTTGGAGAGTATGGTTGAAAACGAACTCCCAATCTACGTGATGAACATCTCGATTATATGCTGATGCCAACACCTCTGTGCATTGAACCTCCAAAAAAGTAAAGTTGTCCCTCAGCTGGGATGGATATGATTTCCTCTCGTTTTTTGCGCCACGTTTCCGAGAAGAACGCAACATCGTATTGTAGTTTGTCAAACTCTTGCAAAAAGTCAAGGAACCGATTGTCTGCCTGGATGCTCTGCAAATTCTTTGTGAACATGCGTATTGTTACGCATTCGTCGTGCATGTCGTGCTCTATGTCCTGGCTGTGGCTGCTTTGGCCATGCCTACCTTGCCAGAGTCCCTAGAGACACATCTCCTCCACGACCTCCTCAACAGCTCCCTTTAAAGTCTCTCCTGTCGAATGCTCCCCCTCGGCCCACTTCACGGAAGCGTCGTCCAGGGCATCGGCCAGATGCACCAACTTCCGGCCACTGCGCACGTGCTTCTTTGGAGGTCTTGTAGTTCAAGACGACGTCTTTCGCGTCGTAGTCCTCGTGCTAAGTGGCGTTTTTTTTTGATTTGCTCAGAATCTTTACTCGCCGCCGCTCCTCCACAGACCTGTTCTCTGAGGCCCACAAGCCTGCATCCTTGAACTTCTGGTTCCTGCGCTGTTTGCGTAAGAGCTTCAAGGCCGTCGTGACCGACACGAAACGGACGAAAGCCACAACGGTCTCCAGGTTCGTGACGTACACCTCCTCCACCCCCTCAACATTGTCGAACACATCTCCGACATACTTCTCAGCTGTGTCGGCATCCATCTCTCCGAATCCCCCGACCACGACCACCGACTTATCGACATCGGCCTCCACCTGTTCATTCCCCCCTCCTCCCCATCCTTCGCCCCGTCGCGTTTTGATGACTTCCTCCAGGACACCAATACGATGTTCGAGTTTCTTGCGATTTTCACGTTCCTGTTCCAGCTCCTTCTTTAACGGGGCAATGGCCTCCTCCATCCTTGACCCCACCACCCGCTCCATCTCCTCGTTGCCGGCTCGGATCCCCTCCTTGATCACGCCCCGAAGCGCTGCGATCGTGGCCGGGCTCATCTCGACTCTCTCGGTGGTATCCGTCCTCAAGGTGTCCGAGAATTTCTGGGCGAGGTCTCGAACTGGAGCTTTCGATCTTGCCATGCCCTCCCGATCTGGGGTCCCCTCGACGGCGCCACTTTTCGATGAAGATGCTCGATCGGCAGCCTGATCCAAAACTTTGAGAAAACCTTTCTCGCAATTCCCACTCAAATCTTGACATCTGGCACCGTGCAAGCCTGCCTCGCCCGTCGTCGACGCCGCCTTGTACCGTTCGTACCGCTCGTATGCTTTGCTTCCCTGCCGGTGCGGGTTCTCCTCCTTAAACTGTACCGGCGTTGCCCCGTCCTTCAGAACCGCAGTTTGCGCCGAGGAAGGAGGCATCCTGTTCCTGATAGCCGAGCTCCAGTTCGGTAGCCGAAAACTTTCGCCACAAAGAACACCGGCCACAAAAAGATTCCCTTTTCATTCTGCCACAAAGAATCCCTGGGCACTCAACCGCAGAAGGATTCCTGTTGCATTCTGCCACGATGGATTCCAGTTTGCGCGCGTGGCGCGTGGCCCTTTGGGGTTCTCAAATCAAGCAACAAAACCATAAGTCAGCGTCGTCGTCGTCCACCTCCTCCGCCTCCTCCTCCCCCTCCTCCCCCCCCTCCTCCTCCTCCTACTCCTTCCCCTCCTCCCCCTCCTCCTTCCCCCCAGCCTCCTGCATCATCTGTCCTTCATGCTCTTTCCTCCCTTTCTCCTCCTCTGCCTCCTCGCTCTCCCCCCCTTCGTCTCTATCCTTTCACTATGTCATCCTTTGAATGCGTACATCTACCAACTTGCCCTGGGGAGTGGATGAGGAGGAGTATCACGAGAGGGGGCAGGAGGAGGGAGAGGAGCAGGAAGAAGGAGCAGGAGGAGGAAGAGGAGCAGGAGGAAGAGAATGACAACGAGGATGCCTCCCCCCTCCTCCCCAGACCGTCGTTCGGGGATGCCCCGGGGGGGGGGGGGGGCGATATATATATATATATACACACACACGCACACACACGTGTGTTTACATATACGTGTATGTATACATACGTATGTGTATATGTATCATATAGATATAGGTTCATTATATATGTATACTATATGTGTATACAATGTATATATACATATATATCCAAAGACACACATGACATGTTTGCATACCTGGCTCTCCGTGGGCCCGCCCGACAACATGACTGTTCGGCTCACCCGTCATCTGTCTCGTGGCCCCTAAGAGGGGGCTCCACCGAAGGCCCCAGTGGCAGCGCCCGCATGGCACCACCGCGCCCATGTCGGCACACCCCTCACACGTTTAGTGGCCCCATAGGGAGCTCAATTGACGGCCCCAGTGGCTGCGTTCGCTTGGCACCACCGCGCCCATTTCGGAACATTTCTTACATATTTCGGGGGCCCTTAGGGAGCTCCACCGAAGGCCCTAGCAGCTGCGTTCGCATTGCATTGCCGCACCCGTTTCGGGACACCCCTTACACGCTCCGTGGCACCATGAGGAGCCCCACCGAAGGCCGCAGTATCTGCGTTCGCATGGCACCTCCGCGCCGAATTCGGCACCCCCCTCACACGTTTCGTGGCCCAAGGTGGAGCTCCACCGCAAGCTACCCACAACGCGGCACTCTCAACTGCATATGGTTGGGTCTTTCGCCACGATAAGTCATCCTCCTGCTGGCATTCCTCCTCCGCCTACTCCGAGGACGCGCTGGACATGATGGTCCTGAACAGGACGCGATGGGTGAAAGCCGCGCCGCTTTCGCCCGAGGCAGGGGCCTCTGTCGAACACTCTGCCCCGCTTATCCACTCCCCCGCGCTTCCTCCCGGCTCCCACCGCCCCCCCCCTTTTGTGTCCTTTTTCCTCACCCCCTTTCCCTCCCCAGTCTCGCGTCCCCCTCCTCTCCTTTTCCCTTCGCCTCTCCCCTCCGCCCTCTCCCCCCCGCCTCATCTGGGGGGTGCCGCTCTCTCGAGACCGCAACGAAGCTGCCCCCTAACCCAGGGCCGCAGCGGGGACGGACGTCGCTGCCACATGCTGGCCCAGAGCCGGCAGGGGGTCAGAGGGGACCTGCGGGGTCAGAGGAGCAGGAGGATGATCGGGAGGAGGAGACAGATGAGGGTAATGATGATGATGATGAGGAGGAGGAGGAGGAGTAGTAGGAGGAGGAGGAGGAGGAGGTGGAGGACCAGTCGAACCCGAGACTCATCACACTCGAAGCTCCCTCTTCATGGGCCCCTACAAGGGCTCATTCCCGCTGAGGGAAGTGCGCCGTTGGGGGGACAACCGTGTGAAAATCTTGATGCGTGCCAGAACACCGTTCTCAGGACTTTCACAACACGAGTCAGCCTGATTGTTGCGTCTTAATGATCCTGAACCGTTCCAAAACAGCATTCACGGGACTTCAACACTGCGAATTAACGTCATTGTTGCGCCTGGCAATCTAGAACACCATTTGTGGAATGTTAACCACGAGAACCCGTGACACTCTTGCAAATTCTTGAGACGAGTGTGAGCGGCGCTGAGGCGAGAGCCACATTTTGAAAAGGAACCGCCCTCAACGCGTGAAACTCTTGCAGTGTTTTGAAACGAGTGTGCGCAGCGCTTCAGCGAGAGCCACATTTTGAGAACCACCCACCCGCAATCCGTGAAACTCTTGCAAAACGGATGTGTGCGGCGCCTCGGCGAGAGCCACATTTTGGAAACGACTTGGCCTCAATCCGTTAAAGATTTGCCAATGTTTAAAACATTGTGCCGCTAAGGCGAGAGCCACATTTTGAACGCCACCCGCCCTCAATCCCTGAACTGGTGCAAATGTTTAAGACAAGTGTGTACGGCACTATGGCGAGAACCACATTTTGAAAAACACCCGCCCTCCATATGTGAAGTTATTGCCAGATTTTGAGCTTTAGGGTCATAAGGTCTCAGACTAAACGCCTGGCCCGCCCTGTCGACACGCCTCTGGGTGCGACAGGGAGGAGTTGTTTATAAGGAAAAGGAGCGGAGGAGGAGCAGGGGGAGGAGGAGGAGGAGGAGGAGGAGGAGGAGGAGGAGGAGGAGGAGGAGAAGGAAGGGGAGGACGAGGACGAGGACGGGGAGGAGGGGGAGGAGGAGAAGGGGGATTCCTGCGCCCAGGGCGCGCGTGGGTTTCTGGCGGCTCCGCCGCGCAGGAAGCTCGTGCAGCTCGGCGACGCGCTGGCGAACGGCGACGAGACCCAGGTCAGGGCCTGGATCAGCGAGGCGATCGGCCCCCTGAGCGCCTCCTCCCCCCACCCCGTCCTTCCTCACCCACACATTCGCTCACTCTCTCACTCCCTCACTCTGACTCTCTCCTCTCTCTCCTCTCTCTCTCTCCTCCTCTCTCTCTCTCTCTCTCCTCTCTCTATCCGTACTTCCATCTCTCTCATTCTTTCTTCCCCATCCGTCTCCAGCAGCCTCTTCTCCTTCTCCTCCCTTTGCCTTTCCTTCTCGCCCCGGTGCTACCCGAACTGTTTCACACCTCTTCGCTCCTTCCTGGTGCGGCGTTATCTGCATCGCGATGCTGAAATTGAGCGCTCAATGGTTCGGTTTGGCCCATTATCCTATCTTTATTGTTGACGCTTCGCGTACCTCCACCGGCCCATTCAGAAACGATACCCAGGCGAGTTGCCTTAATCAAGAAAGTGTGGGCGCATGCAGCTGAACAAAGGGGGAGCAGCCGTCAAACCGAAGCTCGGGAGCAGCCTGAGCAGACGCAGGAGTCAACCATAAACCCTTTGCCGATCTTTCGATCGGGGAGCCTCTTGGAAGTTTTGTTGGTTGAGCCATGTTGGGGCACTCTGGGGGCCATTTTGGGATTCCTTGGAGGCTCTCTTGGGGCCCTCTTGGGTCTCGCATTGGGGCCCTTTTGAAGACGGGGGGGCCCTCTCGTGGCCAGCTAGGATGACATTGATCAAAGAAGGGGGGCTTCTAGATTGGCGCTGCCCCTCTGGAGCGCGAAACAGATGGAGCGTTCCAAAAAGGGCCTCGCCTTCAAGGCTAGAATGAGTTGTCATCTCTTCCGCCGGGCGGAAGGTCGGCGGAAGTAAAACGAGGCCCCCTCCGCCGGCGGAAGGCCTGCGGAAGGCAGCGGAAGTAAAACATGCGTCCCCAAGAGACGAAAACGTTTTTGGGTTCAGGGTTTCCGAAGTCGCCCATATCCAGGGCCATCTTGGAATCATTTTGAGCCCAAGCAAGACTCTCCGATGCCTCGCGGGGGATGGGCCGTCCAGACCGAGGGGAGGAATGCACCTCCGGCAGGTTCACGTCGTGTCGACTGGCGGCGACCCCGCCGCTGGCCTTCCACGTGGAACGCAGGCGGCGGTCCAGCGGTCCACGTGGCACGATCTGACGTTTCGGGAACGGCCGATCGTTCCAGGTGGAACGAACTCCGAGGGGGAGGAGGACGAGGACGAGGACGAGGAGGACGAGGAGTCGCTGGAGTCGGCACGACACGGACGTGCCGTGACAAGGCGGGCGCATCCCTCTTGTCGACCGCAGGCCACGAGACGGGCATGCCCGCGCCTTCCCGGACAGGCGCCCTCAATGCGGCTCAAGACGGCCAGACAGTCCTAGGATTAAGTCTGGCGTGTCCATCTACAGGACGAAAATTCAAAAATAGTCAAAAAAATAGTCTGGGGACGATTTTTTTAGTATTGTTGCCCATGTTTGAATATGTTTCAGGATTTTCCATTTGTTCAAACTCCGCCTGTGGGAGGACGTACCCGACCTGTTCCTAGGAGGCCACATGCGGGCCCTGCCCCAACACCCCACAATTTCGGAGGGGGGGGAGGTGGGGTTCGCTCCGTTCGGGACCTCCCCAGCGAAGAGTGAGCCCCGCCTCCCCCTTCAAAAGTCGTGGGGTGGTGGGGCAGGGCCCGCATGAGGTCTCTTTGTTCCAAAACAACTCTCTAGGAAGGGCTTGTGTCCTGGAGGAAGGGTTCGTTCAAAAAACCCTCCAGGAGGGTTTTTGTTTTGGATCCTGGAGGAAGGGTTCGTTCCCAAAAAGCCCTCCAGGAAGGGGTTCTGTTTGAATCCTGGAGAAAGCGTTCGTTCAAAAAAACAATCCAGGAGAGATTTTGTTGGATCCTGGAGGGGGAGTTCGGCATACGAGACTAGATAAGACGAGTCAGGACAAGGCGAGACGAGACAATCTGTGGCCAGACACGCCGAGGGCAGCCTCCAGGTCGGCCCAAGGAGGCCCCCTACGCCGCCCCGGACGGCCCCCGAGAGGCCGAGAAGATCCGTGCACAGGCAGTGGGAGTTCCACAGGTGGTCGTTTTTTATTCGTTGTTTTGCCGATCGGCGCGGGCCCTCGCACCCCCCCCTCCCCCTTATGGAGTAGCAGGTGGAGCCTCTCCCATAATGGACGCACTGCTGCAAGCAGCCGCACTAAGCAGAGGTCCGGAGCCCCCCCCCTACGCCTAATGTCGAAACGCCGAATAAAAACGGTCACCAATCGTGTGAAGCCAAGATCCTTACCAGCCTGTGTCCGGAGCGATCGTGTGCTTTGTACAAGCGGCTGGCAGCCGTCAGGGTTGCTTCATACAGACGGCTGGTCCGAAGTGGCGGTGGCGGATCGGTCTTTCGCGTTGTGTGCAGAGGCCCCTGGAGGGCACGGCGGAATTGCTCATCGGGTCACTCGCGCAAAAGTTGCGTGAAATCGGGCATGTCCCTCGACAGGAGGGATATTCAAGAATAGTAAAACAAATGATACCGGAGAAAAAACCCAATCATAATCTTTTTAGGGCTGTAGGGCTATATGGGCTATAGGGCTATTGGGCTATAGGGTAATAGAGCTACAGGACTATAGGGCTATAGGGCTATAGGGTATAGGGGTATAGGGCTATGGAGCTATAGGGCTATACGGCTATAGGGCTATAGAGCTATTGAGCTATAGGGCTACAGGGCTATAGAGCTATAGAGCTGTAGGGCTATAGGGCTGTAGGGCTATTGGGCTATAGGGCTATAGGGCTATAGGGCACCCCCGAGCACCCGGGCACCCCCGGGCACGCCCGGGCAGCCAAGCACCCGGGCACCTGGGCACCCCCGGGCACCCGGGCACCCGGGCGTGCAGCAAAAATCGGCGGCAAACCTAACCTAACCATATGAATCCGCTAGGACCCCTACAGAGGCAAGCTCTGATTAGGGAATAGTCCAGTCACGAATTTTCGTGACGTTGTGATTCGTTTGGGTTACGTTTTGATTATGTCTTGTTTTTACCAAATCCGCCTTAAGAGGATTTGCCCGACCTGACCTTCTCGCCGGTTCGCTCCCGAAGGGCTCCTGAGGCCTCCACATGGCCGCCAGAGGGCCCGAAGAAAGCGCCGAACGCCAAAACGGGCCTCGGAGGGTCTCCCGAGGCGGCCCCGAAGAGCCCAAGGAAGGTCCCTCAGAAGGGCCCGAGAGGGCCACGAGCTCGTCCAAGCCTCGAACATGCCAACGGGACCGCGTGCACATGACGCGAAGAAGAAAAAACGCCATAAGCATAAACTTTTGGCGCTCCGCGCGGATCTCTTGGATCTGCGCGGGGCCCCCCTCCCTGGCGCGCGGAGCGCGCCACCAGGGGCGGCGCCGGAGGCGCCGCTGGGGGGGACCCAGCGCGGATCCATGAAATCCGCGCGGGGCGCCAACATTTTATGCTCATGGCGTTTTTGCTGCTTCTGATGACGCGGGCATGCCCCCGGGAGGACCACGGTCAGCCGCATGAGGCCTCCAGGGGCCGCCAAGACGCCCCCCAAAAACCCCTTCCAGAGGGCACGATGTCCGCGCGCAGGAGGGGGGGAGTCTTTTGGCGTGGGGGAGGAGGAGGAGGAGGAGGAGGAGGAGGAGGAGGAGGAGGAGGAGGAGGAGGAGGAGGAGGAGGAGGACGAGGAGGACGAGGACGAGGACGAGGACGAGGACGAGGACGAGGAGGAGGAGGAGGAGGAGGAGGAGGAGGAGGAGGAGGAGGAGGAGGGGGGGGGTAGGCTCCTCCCAGAAAGGGAAGGAGATGGTTTGAAGAGGGATCGATCTTTAACTACCTGCAGTCAAAGCGCATAGTAAGGATGAGAAACTTTCCAAGGCTACCGTTGCATCCTTGCCCCGTCGGTCCATCCTTGGTAACTCTCGCTGGCCAGCCCCGTCCGAAAAACGCCAACATGGCCTCCTAAGGTCCTTGTATCTTCTCCGCGCATCCGTATTTTGCGTTTTGTTTGTACGCCCAGAGGCCCAGAGAGAGGGTTGGACATTCGCCCACTCCGCGCAGTCGAGCCTGTGCTCCCGAATGCCCAGGGTCAACTTTGAATAGAGGGCGGGACGGCGGGAGCGGAGCCAAGGGTTCAACTTTTTTGTCCATCTACGGTTCCCCCCCCTCATGGAGTAGATCTTGGCTGTTTTGGGCGCCTGTTTCAAGCAGGTGTAGTCTCCCCCATAGGACGCACTGCTGCAAACAGTCGCATTGAGCGGAGGTCTGGAGCTAGACACCTTCCCCGCCCCCCCGCCCCCCCTTAATTACGCCCAGTGTCGAAGCGCCGAAAAAGAGAACGCTCACCTCCCGAATGTGACAACCCCCTGCCTGCCCAGGCTGTGTCTCCGTTGCTTTCCCGTGGGTCGTGCACGCGCTGCCGCTCCAGCGAGAGCGGGACCTCAAGACGAAGGTCGATCTTTACGTGGTCTACGTCGCTCCCCCTCGGTCAGCATTTCGTCGCTTCTTTCGTCAAGCGCTCCGCACCAGCAACAGTAGTTGACATCCGCTTTCGCGGAATGCCGTGTCGCACCTGGTCTGAATTCGTTCAGCTTGGAAACGGGCTCGGCGGAGTTTTGAACAACGGGGGATGCGACAGTGGCGAGTTCTCCGACAATATTCCCCAATCAGTGCTTGCACTGAAGGGGTCCTAGCGGATCTTGAAAGATTTGGCGAAAGGTTCCCGGTTCGGGTTCCCGGGTTCCCAGTTATTGGTTCCGGGCCGATTTCGGTGGGTTCTGGGTTCCCGGGCTCCCGGGCTCCCGGGTTCCCGGTCGATCTCCTCAGCGAAAGCCATCCACTGATTGGTTTTTTTCTCGGGTGTAATGGGTATTATCCACAAGCTTCACCCACTGGACATGTAGCACGGAGTGGCGTGCAGCGGACTAAGAGTGTCCACAGCCGTCGCGCGAAGATTGTGCGACATCCAAGGGCATCGTTTCAAGATCTGCAGCCCCCGCCCCACCAACCCAGAGCTCACAGAGTCGGGCGTGAGGCAGCGCGGGAGGGACAACATGTGGGCACTTCCACTCTGGGATCCGGGGGGGAGGGTGCGAGCCACACGTACTATGGGGTTGCGGGTGGTATCAGCGCAGAGTTCGGCAGCGGGCGAGGGAAGTGAAGAAGAACAGGCCTTCTCAGAAGGCGGCGGGACTTCTCAGAAGCCCTCGCGTTTTCCGAGATGTTTTCTGTGTCTTCGGGGAAGGCTAAGACAACATGTCAGAAGGTCGGGGGAGTTGGGGGAGTTCCGAGCCTTCTCAGAAGGCCCGCCCCTTCTCACTTCTCCCCAGGGCTCGCCGCCGAAGATTGCCCCCATTCCATCGGTGTGGGCAACTTTGTCTGGGCACCGGAGGGGGGCAGGGAGGGGAGGGGAGGGGAGGGGCAGGGAAGGAGCCGCGGGGGGGGAGGGAGGGAGGGAAGGGATGAGGGAGGGAGGGAGGGAAGGGATGAGGGAGGGGGGGAGGAGGAAGGGAGGGAGGGAAGAGGGATGAGGGAGGGAGGGAGGGAGGGAGAGAGGAGTGGGAAGGGAGGGAGGGAAGGGAAGGGAAGAGGGATGAGGGAGGGAGGGCGGTAGAAGTGGGAAGCGATGAGGGAGGGAGGGAGGGAGGGAGGGAGGGAGGGAGGGATGAGGGAGGGAGGGAAGAGGGATGATGGAGGGAGGGAGGGAAGGAGGAGAAGGAAGGAAGGGAGGGAGGAGTGGGAAGGGATGAGGGAGGAGGGCTCTGTGTGCTCCCACGAGGCGCGGAAGGCGAAGCTTCCCAGCGAGGAGATCGAGAAGGCTCCGCGCCCGAACGGACGGCGGAGCGGGGGGGATTTCATGTTTACTCACCCTTAGTGTCTCTCCTTTCTTTTACATGCATGGAGTTTTATTCCATCAAGCGTCTATGACGTCTTTTGGGGGGCGCCAGAGGCTCCGCCAGGGGGGTCCAAGCCCAGATCCAAGAAATCCGCGCGGACCTCCGAATCTTGATGTGCATGCCGTGGTTTTGGTTCCTCCGCTCTCGCTCTCCTCCTCTGCCTTCTCATGACCGCCCTGATCGGACGCAGGTGCAGGCCCGAGTCGTGCCGGCGCTTCCGCTCAGGGCTGCACAGCATCAGCGGGTCAGATCCGGCACTTGTATTCTCGTGAGTCTGCAGTGTTGCTCTAGTGTAAGCTCTCCCGCGAGGAGAGTCAGAGTTTCGTGGCCAATCTGCGTCGAGGTGCCACATGTATCGTGTGCCTGCCCCGTGACCTCACTGCTGGGCTGCGTGGGCACAGGGAAGTGCACCGAGCCCAGTCGGGAGCGAAACTCTCAGCACACGTTTTCCTGGTATCTGGGCGAGAGCTGTATGCCGATTGTGTTCCTTGCGCGCGGCCCCGCTCCCGACGGGCCCGCAAGACACATGCGAGGTTCCCAAGGAGGGGAGCGCCACTGAGGAGCATTCTGCGCGGGATTTGGTAGGATGGGAGAGACCCGGGATCCGATGGCCATCGGCCGGCTAGGTGACATGGTGAGAATCTAGCGTGATAGGGAGCAGCAGGAGGAGGAGGAGGAGGAGGAGGAGGGGACGACGAGGAGGACGAAGAGAGGGGACGAGGAGGGCGAGGAGACAAGACGAGGAGGACGAGGAGGAGGAGGAGGAGGAGGAGGACGACGACGACGAGAAGGGCGCTGGCCAGGCGAATGCCGAGCTCACCAAGCTGATCTTGGCCCGAAGGACCGGGGCCAGTCTGGCCGCCCGAGCGCGTTGCCTCCCGGCGTTCGCGCGAGAGCGCAGGGCATGGTGAGAGGCAGCGGGAGGGGGAGGGAGGGGGGAGGAACAGGCGAAGGAGGAGAGGAGGAGGAGGAGGAGGAGATGAGGAGGCGAAGGCGGAGGAGGATGAAGAGGAGGGAAGAGGAGGGAGGAAGAGGGAAGAGGAGGGAGGAGGAGGCAGGAGGGCAGGGGGAGGGAGGAGTGAGGGAGAGGGAGGAGGGAGGGAGGAAGGAAGGGAGGGAGGGAGGGAGGGAGGAGGAGGAGGAGGGTGGAGAGGAGGAGGAGGAGGAGGAGGCGGAGGAGTTGGTGGAGGAGGAGGAGGAGGAGGAGGCGGAGGAGGAGGAGGCGGAGAGGAGGAGGAGTGGTGGAGGAGGAGGAGGAGGATGAGGAGGAGGAGGAGGAGGAGGAGGGGGAGGAGGAGGGAGGAGGAGGAGGAGGAGGAGGAGGAGGAGAAGCAGGAGGAGGAGGAGGAGGAAGAGCAGGAGGAGGCGGCGGAGGAGGAGGAGGAGGAGGTGGAGGAGGAGGAGGGGGGAGATGCTGATGATGATGATGATGATGATGATGATGATGATGATGATGATGATGATGGTGATGGTGATGATGATGATGATGATGATGATGATGATGATGATGATGATGATGATGATGATGGTGGTGATGATGATGATGATGCTGATGCTGATGCTGATGCTGATGCTGATGCTGATGATGATGATGATGATGATGATGATGATGATGAGGAGGAGGAGGAGGAGGAATACGAATAATCATACTAATACTACTAACAGTAAGATTAAAAATCATAATACTAATAAAAATAATAATGATAATAATAATAATAGGAAGAAGAAGAAGACGAGGAGGAGGAGGATTCTGCTACGAGGATTCTGCTACCCTGATCTGCTGCGCTATGAGCAAGAGAGCGCAACCGACGAAAGATGGGCCTCACCATCCCCCAGGCCTCTCCTGGGCGACATGGGTTGGCCGCGCTGCGTTGTCACTGATGACGTGCGTCCCAGCTCTTGCAACCCTGCTGTGCACGGCTGCTCCCCTGGCCATTTCGCGCACGAGCTGATCCCAGCGTTGAGGCTGATGATGTATGCTCCTGCCCTTGTCGCGTTCTCGCAGTACCAGATCCTGCTGCCACTGCTTTCCCTTCTCGCATTGCCAGCTTCTGCTGCCACTGCGTTGCTTCGCACACGAACGGATCCCAGCGTTGTAACTGATGATGTCCGCTCCCGCACTTTCCTCTTGCTGAGCGGCGGCAGAGACTGCTGCCACCTCTCACCCCTCTCGCACGTGCTGCTCCCAACACTGTTCTGACGACCTCGGGCTCCAGCTTCGCCTCCCGCTTCCCGCAGAGTAGTGCCGGATCCTTCTGTCAGAGTTTGCCCTTCTCGCACGCCCTGATTCCAGCGCTGTAGCTGATGTTGGGCTCTAGCTCCGCCTTCCCCATCTCGCTGAGTAGCCACAGAGAGTGCGGCCCCTGCGCAACGTTCTGGCACGCGCTGCACCCAGCGCTGTAGCTGATGACGTCTGGCTGCGGCTTCGCCTCCGCTATCTCGCTGAGTAACGATTATACTTGGGCTCCAGCTTTGCCCCCCGTTTCTCGCATAGGGCCCCGGAGCTCTCGACCCAGCACTTCTCGCACGCGCAGTGCCGAGCAGGTTAGCTAGATAGCATTTGGCTCCAGCTTCAACCCTCGGCCATTTCGCGCATGAGCGAACCCCAGCACTGTAGCTGATGATGCGTCGCCCCTGCTTTCCGCTTGCCCCTTCTGCACGTTTGCACACGAGCTGATCCCAGCGCTGTAACTGAAGATGTCCGCTCCTGCGCTTGACATTTTCTCGCAATGCCAGATCCTGCTGCCACTGCATGCCCTTCTCGCCTTGCCAGCTCCTGCTGCCACTGCTTGCCTTCGCACCCGAGCTGATCCCAGCTTGGTAGCTGATGACGTTACTCGTGCACTGCTCGCCTTCCTTACATGTCTTCACCTTGCCCTGATCCCAACGCTGTGGCTGATGGCATCGGGTTCGTCCTTGATCGGCCTCCCTCCTCACCGCCGGCTTCCAACGTCGCGTCGGATGTAGCTGACGGCGTCGGGCTCGTCCTTCACCTGGACACAGTGCCAGCGCCTGCTGCCACTGCCTGCCTTCTTGCTCGCACGGGCTGCTCCCAGCGTTGTTGCTGATCGTGGCCCACCCGCACTTTTCTCGCAGCGCCAGCGTCGGCTGCCACTGCTTGCCCCCTTTCTCCCACGGGCTGCTCCCAGCGGTCCTGCTGATCGTGGCCCACCCGCAGTTTCTTCGCAGCGCCAGCGCCAACTGCCACTGCTTGCCTTCTCGCACGGCCTGATCCCTACACTGTAGCTGATCAAGCCCATGTTTTGCCTGCACTTCCGCCGCGGCGCTCGGATGGCCGGCGCTGCAGCTCGCCAGACTGACGAGGGGAAGGGGAAGGAGGAGCAAGAGGACGACGAGGGAAAGGAAGGGAGGGCGGAGGAAGCCCAGTCTCCTGGCGGGTGCGCTCGCGCCTGATCTCAGCATTGTGGCTGATGACGTGGGGCGCCACGCCTCTCGATGTCGGCTCTCGCGAGCAGGGCCATTTCGAAGTTGGCCCGCGAAACACCCTTGCGCGCCCCGTGCAGGGGGGGCCGCTCGGGCGCGAAATGGCTTGGAGGAGGAGGGAGGAGCAAGAGGACGACGAGGGAAAGGAAGGGAGGGCGGAGGAAGCCCAGTCTCCTGGCGGGTGCGCTCGCGCCTGATCTCAGCATTGTGGCTGATGACGTGGGGCGCCACGCCTCTCGATGTCGGCTCTCGCGAGCAGGGCCATTTCGAAGTTGGCCCGCGAAACACCCTTGCGCGCCCCGTGCAGGGGGGGCCGCTCGGGCGCGAAATGGCTTGGAGGAGGAGGAGGAGAGGAAGAGGGGAGGAGGGGAGGAGGAGGAGGAGGAGACAGAGGAGGAGGAGGAGAGGAGGAGGAGGAGGAAGAGGGGGAGGAGGAGGAGGAGGAGGAGGAGGAGGAGGGGGGGGGGAGGAGGAGGGGAGGAGGAGGAGGAGGGAGGGCGGAGGAGGAGGAGGAGGAGGAGGAGGAGGATGAGCTGGTGGGCCCGAGCCTTTGCAGGGGTAACCAGACACCAGCTTTGCAAATTAACAAAGAATGGAGATCACAGGTCAGGTAGATGTTGCCTCTCGATGATGAAGGGGGGCTGGGGCATCGGGCTACGACTGGTGGCCGCACGGTTGCACTCTCTCGCGCTGATGGCCTTCGTCAGGCTGGTAAGCAGACACTTTCCCGTGGCAAGGGGCGCGGGAAAAGGCAAAGTTTTTCACGCCGTGCTTCCGTAGTGGGGTTTGTCAGCCCGAGCAGCGGGGACTGGCGCCCACGCGACCGCCCGCAAAAGGAGCGGGCATCGTCGCCAGATATGCGTTATTTGTTGTGCTCTATCCTTGTCCATTCTGTCTGCGCCCTTCCTGCATCCGTCTCTCATTGAAATTTGCGTATGTGCAGTTGTAGCAGCACGAGAGCCAGCATGCAGCATAGTGGTTGTATGTGCAGGCTTCCCAGAGTCCACAATAGCAGGAGTCAGTAGTATAGGATTTGAATAGGTTGAGAGAAAAGGAGGAGGAGGAGGACGAGGAGGAGGAGGAGGAGGAGGAGGGGAGGAGGAGGAGGAGGAGGAGGAGGAGGAGGACGAGGACGAAGGAGGAGGAGGATGGAGGGAGGATGGAGGAAGGATGGAGGGAGGAGGGGGACGAGGAGGGAGAAGTTGGGGGAAGGAGGGAAATAGATGGGGTAAGGAGAGATGAGGAGAGCGAAGGAGGGAGGCTGATGATGCGACGCTGGCATGGGTGGCGGGCCGAGCTCTTTGTCGCTTGCTGCGGCACGGCGGGCGGGGCGGCGCATGACAGACCCTTCCGCCGGCCGCCTTGCCAGGGCCCCTGGAGACCCTCCCAGGGGACAGCGAAAGCGTGGCGGGAGAGAGGCGGGCTGCCTGCCAAGTTGGGGGAAGGAGCGGCTCGAAATCGGATGGGGGGTAAGGAGAAGGGGGGGGGGGCGGGAGGGGCTGGGATGCGACGGGGGGCATGGAGGCGGGCCGAGCTCTTGCTCCTCCTCCTCCTCCTCCTCCTCCTCCTCCTCCTCCTCCTCCTCCTCCTCTCCTCCTCCTCCATGCGGCCACTGTCGGCATTGGCGCGTTCTCCGATGGCCGGGTCGCGAATACGTTGGGGCAGCCCCGCGGGCGAGGCCGTCGGGGCAACATTGCGAGCCGCTGGGGCGCGGGAGTCAGCCGCTGGGGCAACCCCGCAGGTCTCGAGCTAATCGCGGCCGCGTTTGGCGGGAGGCAGCTTGAAGTCCAGCTCTGCCGCGAGCTGCTCCGCCTCATCCCCGGAGGTCACCGTTCTTTTGTCGAGCTCCTCGAACGCCTCCCGCTGGGGCGCCGGCGGCCCGCGTTCCGGGAAGTCTCGCGTGGGCGGCCGCAGGATCAGCGTGTTCCGCACGCACGTGGCGCGGGAGAACATGACGTAGAGGGGCAGCCTCCACTGCTCGTCCGACATGCCCGTGCGACCAGCGTCCTCATCCTCGGCGCAGTCGACGGTGGCGCCTTTGCGCAGCGTTTGACCCTGCTACAGCGTGGAAGTCAGGTAGCACGCGTGCGTCAGGGTGAACCCCGAACGGCGCACGAAATGCGGCCCCGAACTCGGCCACGTGAGCTCCTGTTCGTTGGGCCTGAACATGAGCAAGCTCCTCGCCTGCGCCTCGGCTTCGCCGTCGTCGTAAACGCTTTCGGCACCTTGTAGCAGCAGTTCGGCGCCCACCCCGCGACCCACCCCGCGACCCAGCCGCGACCTAGCCGCGACCCACCCGCCACCCACCCCGGGACCCACCCGCGACCCACCCCGCGACCCACCCGCGACCCACCCCGCGACCCGTCCACGACCCACCCGCGACCCTCCCGCGACCCT